TATATATGAAAAATTTCAGTTAAATCAATAACCCCAAATGTTGTTGGGACTTATTGCCACATTAATGATAAATGGTGTTACGAATGTAGCCTGCTAGGACTGTTCATTTATTAATTTAGTGGGATTACATTCCCACAACCTGCTGTTAACTTAAAAGACCATTCAAGCTTTTTATATACAGTTATGTAGCTTAGGACAGTTTGTTCTTGTACTTCATATTAGTCATTTTGAATTTCATATTCACCATGTTCCATCATTAGACCATCGCTCATAAACAAAAGAGCCCTAATCTGTCTGGAAATTGTCAGGGAGAACAGGAGGATTGCGTCTTTGCATTTATGTCAGTCATGGGAGACTGCAATTGTTCTTTCATTAGGAGCCGCTAACATGCTAATCATCTGTTTAATTACCAGCGCTAGCGAGTGGGCTCAAGTAAGCATGGAGAAGTGCTCGGTGGATTGAAGCAAAGAACTTCTAATGGTATTCAGAAACTCTCTGCTAACACGCTCAGAATCTAAAACTCAGTCTCTGATGCTCAGTGCTAGTACTAATAGGAGTAGGGTTGCCAACCATCCTAATATACAAAAATTGTCCTGTTTTTCAGGGAACAGTTCAATGCATACAGAATGCAGTTTGTGCCATATCTGTGAGACTTATGCCCAAACAGTTGAGAACGCTTCAGTATTTATCCATATTTTTCACTGGGTTTGATGCTCTGTTAATTAAAATGTCTAAAATACAAAGCACTTCCAATGGGAGCCTGTTCGACATGAAATATTTATATACAGCCACAATTCTCTAATGTTTTAATTTGTCTATGTAGAAGCTAAATTGATATGTGTTTAATGATGTGTAGCAATTTATTATGACATTAAAATTCATTTACGTTTACAACAGACGCAATGAAGTCATATGTCAGTAAGCAAAAAAAAAATCATTGTCATTGTATTTCACATGCACTGTAGCACTTAATTCGTCATTTTTATATACATTTATAGCTGCAAGCATACTGGGAGTATGTATACCGAAACATACATCGTAGAGCGAGCTTGATCATGAATTGCTATTATCATAAAAAAAAAATTTTAAGTAGAAAACTGAATATACTCCAATATTCTTTGAAAAATCATTTTTACAGTGCACAGCATCCCAGTTGCTAATATATAAAATAAAATAAAATATTTAATCTTTATTATCAATACCTTTTATTAATAAGATGACTAATATAACTATTTTACAAATTATGGGCAGTATTTAAGGAAATTTTCATGCAGAATCAATTTGTAGTGGATAAGAATTCACTTTATTTTCTGCATAAATCTGCCGTTTGGATACGCAACAGTAATACTGTCAGCGTAAAGGACTACTTTTGCAGTTATGTCACTGCTTTTTTTCATAAGTAAACATCACTAACATTACTGAGGACTGCAAGACCAGTCACAAGCACAGTGAGGGTACGTTTGTAATAGTACATGTGTAACTGAACACTACTGCTTTATGAATAACTATTAATAATGTATACTTAGCTATTATGAACTTGTGTTCCATTTTAAAACTGTGTGGAGATATAATTTTTAAATGGTGAAGTAGCTCATTGCATTTATTGACCAAGGCCATTCCTGAAACACTTCAGTGCAATTAAGGCTTTTAATAACTTAAGTGCTGGCTTTGGTTGAATTATCCTTTCAATACGCTGCTATTCATTTTAGGAAGAAAATAAGCCTCATGTTTACAAACCAAGATTCTTAAAATGAAATGCATATTTTATTAATTATAATGCTCGATAATGCAAGATGCGAGAGCTGCCTTCATAAAAAACTGATGTAAAGCATAACGTATTTACAGTATATCTTGGTATCACTTACTGTAAAGACAATGACTGCGGTAATTGTGCGCTGAGGGTGACATTAAAACTGACTCTGACAAGTTGCCAAACTTAATCTACAAACTCATTCTGTGTATTGTGCCTCGCACAGAAGACACGCAAGAAAATGAATCAGGACAAAATTAATCACAGCAATCATTTTCCATTAACCATTGGCTGTCTAGACTCAAACAAATGAGGTTTGGTGATGGCTAAAACTTGCACTCACATTCATGGGGATATTCCAGGCCATGTAGACGTGGGACTTATACTCATCCATCCAAACTTCTGCTGCCCGCAGCGCGTTCCTCTTGGCATAGTAGTCAATGTCGTTGTTGTACGGTTTCTTTGTGCGTTCGATGTGAGCTACTCGGGCACACGGGAGAACCTCCATACTGCCGCCACACTGCCACACCTGCAGACAGAGACGGTAGATAACAGTTAAAACTAAAACAGTAAAACCTGTTTTTTTTTTACACATTTTATGAACAACAAGTTCTTATGAAAGCCCATTTCCAACAGGGAATACAAAAAAAACTACATTTTACAATTTTGACTTTTTTTCTCACAGTTCTAGAAAAAAGATTAGCGAGATCTGAATTCAGAATTGCAAGATGCTCATTTGCTATTCTGATAAAAAAGTCTGGATTGTGACATAAAATCACAATTGTGACAAAAAAGACAGAATTGTGACCTTTTTTATTTTTTATTCCTTGGCAGAAACCCCAAAAAAAATCTGACTTTTGTCTCACAAATGCGACTTTATCTCTCACAATTCAGACTTTTCTTCTCAGAATTGCGAGGTATAAACTCAGAATTGCGAGAAAAAAGTCAGAATTGGGATATAAAAATTGCAATTACCATTATTTGTTTTATCCTGTGGTGGAAACGAGCTTCTATAGGTTTTAGTATGTGCAAAGGTGATGCTAAGGTGTCCATCATTAAATAACACAGGTAGTTCAATATAATTTGAACTCTTTTTATGCCTATTTTTGATAATTTCTTGCTATGCTGACTGTCCTGACTGTGAGAGAAAGCATTTAACTATAACAAATGATGTGCGATTTACAGCATATGAAAAAAGAACAAAGTCAAATGTATTGCCATCTAAATATTCTCAGCCAAAGATTGTCAGATTGAGCTAAAAAAATGAACTGCTTTTTATTTAGGGCGCCTCAACTCGCCCGTTGAGGTTTGCCCCCTTCATAATACAAAGTGTGTGAGCTTGCCTGATACAGCAATTAAGTGTTAAGGGCCATTAGTTTGTGCTGAGATGAGAGAAACAGGGGATGATAAATGAATGTGTGGAAAAGATGAGTGCAAATATGTTCTTCCCCTGAGACCCACCACCAGTCACACTATTATGCTGACTCCGTGTGTCTGCCTCCACATCATAGAAATATATGAAAAAACAGGCAGTGAATGTACGTACGCCATTATAGCTTTAAAATGGCATATCAGCCTGCTGCTGTAGTGATGACAGGGGCACCAGAAAGTTCAAGGAAACATTGCTCAAACTGGAGAATAGATGCAGAAGGTCTACTGACCTGAAAGGCCAGAGACTTACAACTGAACATATGTAGATTAATAATCGGCTATTAACATTACAGGTGGATAGCTTTTAAAAGATTATGTATGGCACTGGATATGGCATCCTTGAAATACGTAAGAGAACAACAATAGTAGCGTTACTAGATTTGAAAAGACTACATTTTAGCACTTAACTGAAGACTCTTGATTTAGTTTAACATAATTTTTTACCCCCTCTTAAGAGTTCTATATTTACTATAAACTATGTATTTTTTTTGGGGGGGAAGGCTTTTATTTAGCAAGGATGCATTAAATTTATCAAAAGTGACAGTAAGAACTATATTTTAAGCATTATTACAAAACATTTCTATTTGCAATTCTTCTGAACTTTTTATTTAAAAAAATCACAAAAAAATAGTAAGCAGCAAAACTTGTTTCAACATTCATAATAATAATGTTTTGAAATGTTATGCCAGATCATAATATTAGAATGATTTTGGAAGGACCATGTGACACCGCTGCAAATTCAGCTTTACCATTATAGTATTAATTGCATTTTCAAATATGTTAAAACAGAAAACAGTTATTTTAAATTGTAACAATATTTTTTTATGTACATTTCATCAAACAAATACAGCCTTGGTGAGCATAAACGTTTTTTTTTTCATAACATTTTCAAAATTACCGACCCCAAACTTTTGAGTCCTTGGCTTTTAACAGTTCTCTCAATGGACAAACATCTTCTATTAAAGGGGTCATATGATGCGATTTCAATTTTTCCTTTCTCTTTGGATTGTTACAAGCTCTTGGTGCATAAAGAAGATCTGTAAAGTTGCGAAGACTAAAGTCTCAAATCCAAAGAGATATTCTTTATAAAAGTTAAGAGTCAGCCACGTCTACCTAAAACGGCTCGTTCTAACACGCCCCCACATGTCTACGTCACTATGTGGGAAGATTTGCATAACGCCGCCCAAATGTTCACGCAAAGAAAGAAGGCGTAACTTTTATTCTCGCTGTTGTATTGTTGCCACCGCCATGTCGTGAAGATGCTGTGTGTTTCGTTGGGAAAGCGAAACTACTTTGTTTGCCTTCCGAAAGGGGACACAACTAGAAATCAGTGGTTAAGTTGTATTTACAACACTGTTCCAGAACACTTCAACCCAAATGTTCAGATGTGTGCAGCACATTTTATGGAAGACTGTTTCCTGATCCTGGAAGAGTAGACTACAATGCCGGCTGTTCTGACTCACAGCCTGTAAGTATGTTTTCATTTAAAGAATTTGCCACTGACGATTCAAACGCGAGTTTTGAGCAGTGTAGAGTAGCACTTGTTGTTTGTCATTTCTCCGATCACAAATGCAGACATGGTTTTATGTTTACGCAGCGCGATGCAACACAACGTGTAAAAAGACAGTATAAATCATTATAATCAGTAATTATGTCCCCACTGGATGCAACAAATGCCTCATTTATAATGGGTTTTCATGTTTTTGTCTCATCGCTCCGGCCGGACACGGTATCACAGTATGGTGAGGGGCCAAATATTTCCGTCACACGCTTGAGGTATTCGGCCAATCACAACGCACTGGATAGCTGGCCAATCAGAGCACACCTCGCTTTTCAGACCGATGAGCTTTGTAAAAATCGACACGTTTCAGAAAGGCGGGGCATAGAGAAGAAACAATAAAGTATGTGGAAAAAAATGTGTTTTTTGAACCTTAAACCGCATAAACACATTTCATTACACCAAATATACAAAATAATGTTCTTTTTAGCAACATCACATGACCCCTTTAATATAAATAAAATATTTGTGATTATATGTTGCTTGAAAACACAGCATTCAGTCTAATTCTGAATACTCTGCTTTTTGAAACCAGATGATGTTGAAAACAGGGACACCAAATTAATATTTTACATTAAAAGAAGCTAATAAAAGGAGAACTCAAAAGCACAAACACACAAAGGAAATAATGAAAAACATGGAACACCTAGAATGAATCAAGACAGGCAAAAGGAGTAAAATAATAAAGACGATCTGGAAGTGCATTGTGCATCTTTGGTGGCTTTATACAGTAGAGCTACAAGCAGAAGTGCGCTGCCTCTCTTTTGCACACCTTCGCTTTGAGAGCTAGCGGTCCTCTATCTTCCACTAACCGTGACATTAATGGAACTAGCTATGCATTCACTGACTTTCATTAGCTGTGAATACTTTCAGCTTCAGCACCACTGATCCATAGTGCAACCTTGGTGTACAAAATCAATCTCAGAGCAGTAGAGTTCTGTTATGGCCTCACATGCTGCAGGTTTTTCTGCTCTCTCACTCTACAGTGAATACTCCATTGTGTGCTTTGTTCAAGCTCAATAAAAGCCTACTTTCAGTCACGGAACAGACAAAAAACAACAAATTAACTTGTTAGCCCTCGGTGTTTGGATTAGAGTTGAGTAAAGAGACTGCCCCCTCTCTGAGAAAGAACCTGCGTTAAACACCACAATGCTAGTGTTACAAAGACAATAAACCCCCCCAAACCTATTGCACACTATCTCTATGTCCTATCTCTTTACATGATGATAAGGAACAATGCTGAGATAAAAACTTCAAAATACAATGTACTTCTAAATGAGCACATAATTTTGATTGAACCAAAAATATTGACAACTTGTTCGGAGAGGCATATTAATTGTTTATGTCAAATAAAATGCTATTTAGTACAAGAATGTTGCAATCCCTAAAGATAAAAATATCTTAATCTTCAGTGTTTGCATTGCTTTTGCCTGTACAAAATCTGTCAAGTGAGGTTTTATAGGCCTGTGATGTAAACTATAGACTACTGACTATAGACAAAACGCCTGAAATATCTGAAATTTCACACTGCAACTTCCTGTTTCAATAGGAAATACATTAATACAGGAAATAAATTACACATTATACATTGTTTATCTTGCCAGCAGCATGATCAAAGATTTAATATTCAGCTTGGCATGTAAAAAAAAATAAAATAATTAAAGATTACTGGAGTATGTTTTACAAGAAAATACTTTTACATGTTTAATTATTTGTGTTACTTGCCATTTCTTTGTAGCTATTTGTGCAATTTACTAGCAATTTCTATGTGAAATAGTAAAGAAATCTCACACCAATTTTTTTTAGGTAAGTGTTTAAAGAGAGTAATTCTTTTCAGTGGCCTCGTTCATATCCTGCAATAACCTGTGCTTTTATGCTTGCTTCTGAATGACTGGATATCACTGAATAAAGCTGAATGCATTGGGACAAAATATATTGTATAGGCCCATATTTCCATATATGTAGGATGTCCTCTATAAAAATAGTCTCTGTCACTGTTTAGATTTGCCCTTCTTTGCGAACAAGCGGGAGTGATATTGTATGATTCAAGAGATGGTGGGTCAGCATCATGCAGGTCACGTTTCTGCAGGTTTCTTTCATAACATTATTAAAACAAATAATTCTCTCTCTGAACTCAGGAGCCATGTTGATGAAATGATGATTGTTGAAGAGCACTGACAGGAACACATTTACCTCACGCTGAGAGGGAGGGATTGCCATTACTGAGTTCCACTTTTTTTTTTCAGCCGTAATTAAGCAGTCTGGAGAAGAGACATCAAGGTCAAAAACTCATGGCGAACAAGATGGTAGCAGTACAACTGCACACTCTGATACACACTTTTCTTTCATTATTGGGCATAATCAATCAATTGTCAAAACCAGTGCTGTCCAAAGCCCTCAGATGAATATGTGCAGTGTGTCATAAAAGACATTGCACAGTCTGTCTTGACTTTTACTCAAGATGGCACTGGGGTCATATCAAACAATTTAACAAGCAAGAATGAAAAGGTCAGTGTACAAATTATTAAAAATATATTATT